CAACTTCCCCTTAAAGTCTGAGAACCAGGGACCAGAGGGTAGACAGGCAGTTACTACACTGGCAAATCCTAAAGTGACCGCTAAACCTCAGCTAGTTATATAAGCAAGGCATTACGCTGTACACCTCCCGCTTCTTGTCGTGAAAAGAGAGGTTTCGGATTTCCAGCCAAGGAAGCCCCAGTTTGGGGTATCTGCGTGTATTAAACCAGTGCATCATCCGATCAAACCGTTACTCGTCGGCTTGTTCGTGCTGTTCTCTTCCGGAAATCAGTCGATTAATTGACAAAGTTTAGCAACACAAACGTAGGATGCCAGCAAGACAGCGGTGTCTGTTGGACAATAGATTTTCCCGAACACTATGTCGCTTTTAACAGACGACCAACGAAGAACAAGCCGCAGAGAGAGAGACCCACCTCGGCTGGAGCAGAAGGTCCTCGAAAGCACTTTATAGCCAAAGTCGATAAAGAATGTCGAGTCCGAAAGGGCGTGGGTTCGGATCTCACCGCTGCCACCAGTATAGCGTCTCGAGACTTCCTAGCCAGTATACGAAGTCAGTAAGTGCAGCTGGACACATGTATTCTGAAGACGACAGGACAAATGGGCACGGACACAGCCCGAAGGCCAATCCTCACGTACGAGGACCAAACAGATTCTAAAGTGACCGCCGTACATCATTTGGTCACGTAAACAAAGCATTACACTTCTCTCTGCTAAGTAAATACATTCTGTTAGGTCAATATGCACCTAATTGTCTTTGAAAATGTCCCAAGAACCTACAACATGAACCTGTATTGTCAGATGAAGCAATTCCAACCATACATTTCCAACAATGGCACTCTTATAAAAAGTCAAGATTTTTAAAGTCTGAAACAATAAGCTATTCTTTTTTGTTTTTTGTCGTTAAGAGTCGACATTTTTCTTATTCGAATCAATGGACTTCTTAAGGCAATGGCCTTAAGTCCCATTGGTTAAATACTGACTCTGAATGTTGTAGTGTGCTGTAGCTGTGGCTCCTTGTCCCGGAGTTTCGAGGTACTATTTTGGTACTTTCGTATTCGTTATGGTCATATCTGCGTCGGAATATTTGTCCTTATCATAACAGCATACGTTCTCTGCGTCTTACCTTACAGCTTTTTCTTGATCTTTGTTGAGGCGTCTAGATGCCTATAATGGTGGTGCAATAATGTTAGGACATGATGCAGTCGGTGCACATATCTCACAGGTCTGAATTTTCTTGCAAGACGAATGATCTAAGCGAATTTGCCGCATCTGGACAGTGGAATTTTGCATTTCTTGGTTGAGCCATTGGGTCATCTGTTTTAACGCAGTACATTCCAAGCTTTCATTTTGTCGAGACAAGTTTCTGATGTTCGACATTACTGTAGTTAGCGACTTTAAAGTGTGTTAAACCTGGCATGTTCCTTGAATACGTATGCTTTCCCATCACATTGTAACGGATTTGCCACTTTCACCATGCTGTAGGAAAATAGATTCCTCCTTTTTGACTTGTTCATTTTCACTAGTGCTTCTATTCATAACAACATAAATGGCTATCCATTTTCCTTACTTTAATAATACCTGGCTTTACCCTTACATCATTGCCTTCATTTTTAGACTGGCTGGGCAACATCATTTTATTGGTTTCGTACACAAAAGAGATCTGGATCCCCATAGCCAACTTTCTACCGCAGGCCTCGCTGATCACCCTAGGAAGCACCGGTCAGGTAAGCCTCCTCTGCTCCTTTTTTACTTTAGTCCCATTTTGCCAACTCTTGGCTTGTATATTTTATGTATATGTGCACCCATGTAGTATATTCGATGACCTCGCCTCGTTTGGTAAGTTAAAATGAAAATCCGAAAGTGCTTGATTCATTATTGCTGTTCATTTTTTATCCCGGCTTTGGTCGTGCTTTGCATGCATTACTTGAACTGCTCCTGAACAAAGCCTCTGTGAACGCTAAGGCCAACTTATGTTGTCTGCATCGGGGTTTTTTTTACTATCATTTCGCTTCAATACTATTCACATCTAGCCATTTCTCTTTCCCTTACTGAGCGGATATATGGCATGATGGTAACCAGATTCCGATGACGCCAGCATATGCCAGTTTCCCGATGTCCTTGCGAAAGTGTGGGTTGGCCATTAAGTGCTAATGACAATGAAGAGCTGCTACTTTTGAAAGCATTTTATATAATTTCATGACCAATTGAACTCACTGTCAGCATATAAATGCCCTTAGTTTTTTACTTGCTGGGTTCGCCTGTTTTCGACCTCCGAGGCCCTCTTTTTCGTCCAAGTTACCCCCCATTTAACTTTTTGCGGCAATCACAAATGGTTGTCCAACGCTAATTGGTGGTGTGAGTTAACTTTGTATGGGCATGGTGTCTTGCACTAGAGTGCTACCAACTTTGAAATAATCATCACACATTCCAATAATTTGTTTTATTCGACTTGCCGTTTACGAGAGTTTCCAATTTTTAGTGGCCATGTCTGGTTTTGATGGAGCCACGCAAACAGCCGGGCATTTCCTATGGTTTGAGGGAACTTGTTTTCCTCTCTCCATGCCTGCTTCGCCATGTATTTTTTTCTAAATTTGTTCGATAAGTGAGCGTTATTGGATCCATTTATCGTCTCCAGTCGGGGTCCAGACGAGTTAGGGCTCGTGATCGCGTATTCAGCTAAACTTTTTATTCTGCATGTTCATGTGCCACTCGCTTGATTGCATTCGCACTTTCCCCTGCAATTCCTGTCTATTGATCGGCCAAGTGTTTTCTTAGCTTATCCTCTTTTGTACGTTCCGAGACTTTCGTCAAGTCATGTCCTTCATCGAGGTATCACACGATCTTATTAATTTTTCTGGACTTCCTTTCGCGTCAAATTTTTTTGCGTCTTTTCACTGCTCCTATTTGTTTCTTTTTTTTGTTTGAAATATGCGACCTTGTTTCTTTTCCACACGTCTAAATCATGTGATGAGATTGGATTGTTTGCGCAATTTCGTGACTGAAGGTAGTATGCATGTGCATGTGTTCTTTTTTCCGTTGCCAGGTGGTATTGGAAGTAATGTCGATTGTTCATTGAATCCTCGGACGTCCTGGTCATTTTAGCACTCACTCTTGTTTTATGCCTCTCTGGTAGTTTCTGTGGAAATACTTGGGGAAGAATACCAGTTTTTTGGAGATAAGTCAAATATGAATGTTCTTTGTGGTTGTCTTTTGTAGACTAAGAATGAATAAATTTAGGTCGTTGATCATACGCATGTATTTAGTTGTGCCAGCACGGAAAACATCAAGATGTCACTTGGAGTACTCAGGAGTTAAGACTGGATTTGTGAGGTCTCTGGCGTCGCCAATACATGCACAATCGGAATCCCGATATCTGTGTGCACACCGGCCGGCCAAGGTGCTGAGTCACGAAACTGTTTCATTCTTGTGTGCTTGATTGGCAGAGGGCTTACTGTGTACATTGGCACGCAAGGGAAATTAGTGTCAGCTTAAATTTGGAGATTGTTCAGAACGTTTTGGTCCAAAAAATTATTCAGCTTTAATTCTGTGGTTGCAGGCACATCAAACCGTTCGGATTAAAACTAATTCCTTCATTTTATTTATTCCGCGTTATGGTGATGTCCTCAAACCAGCTTGATGCACATCCGCTTTGCCGGGATGTGTGAACCCCCTTCAATATATTTGTTTTCTCAGATCTAAGTTACGCTCGCCTACATCCAGTGAGTTTCATCTCATTCACCTACTCGGTAAATCTCATTTGATATTGAATCGTTTATGAGCCTTTGGACCAGCGTTCCTTGGGTTGATTGACTCTGCGTCTCTGCTAATCGAACATCCTCCAGCGTTATCGCTTGTTTCAAGTTTTGTTGAAGTGCCAAAATTGTTGAGCCTATTCACTGAAAAGAGGAAAACTTGTTCTTTGGAGTTGGTTTTGAATGGCACCCTAGGCGTTACGTAGGCGCTGTGCGAATGCTTTAACCTACCTTTATGTGCGTCTCATTGCGAACGTTTGAGCTTTGTTGATGGAACCCTGTTTTTCTAATGACCCATTGGTCTTTTGAGGTGCTCAAATCCTTGGTATGCACACGGTGGCAGCTCGAGATGTGCCAATACCTGTTGTTGCTACATGAGGACATGCAGGTACTCTCACTTCCATGCCTGCATTTCTGAGTACGAGTTTAGAGGTGGAGGAGTGGAGTTTCAATTGCGAGTATGCGTGCACCCCATAATCCCCTTATCGCCCAAATGGGGATCGCGCGAAGCCCAATTTAAGTCCCATCTAAGTAATGTGAGGGTTGTTATTTTGTGACGTCGTATTCAAATCGATTTCGCCTTTTTTTCTTCCGCCATCTTGTTCATGAACATGCATACGCAGTAGTTATGAGTTGTTTTGACTACTTGCCACTTCTGTGTTTGAATTTGGCGTTGCTTTAGTTAGTCCGTTGTGAAGTGTCCGGTATTCTCAGTTAAAGAGCTGGCATTTCGTTTGGCTGCTACACTATACAGGTAATCTTGTGTCACGATCCTAAACACACGTTTTAATCCGTGATTAG